AAATTAATACTTTTATTTAGCAAGGATGCTTTAAATTGATCAAAAGTGATAATAAATAAATTTATAATGTTACAAACGATTTCTGTTTCAGGTAAATGCTGTTCTTCTGAACTTTCTATCCATCAAAGAAACCTGAAAAAATTCTACTCTGCTGTTTTCAACATAATAATAAATTATTTGAGCAGCAAATCAGAATATTAGAATGATTGATGGAGCATGTGACTGGAGTAAAAAATCAGCTTTGAAATCACAGGAATAAATTACATTTTAAAATATATTAAAATAGAAAACAGTTATTATAAATAGTATAAGAAATGTATCAAAATGTTACCGTTTTTGCTGTACTTTGGATAAAATATATGCAGGCTTGGTGAGCAGAAGATAATTATTTAAAAAACATTAAAAATCTCACTGTTCAAAAACTTGACTGGATGGATGGATGGATGGACGGACATACAGACAGATACTGTATATTGTGCTATATTCTTTAAACAATGCATGTCACTTGGTTTGTCATGTAATGCAGTGACATTCATACATTTTTAAGTGTGGCTTTTTATGTGTCCAAACTAATTTTGAGGCTACTGTCTTTTGCAAATTCAGTCAGTATGATTAAATCATGTATCTTAGACCTCTTGTGCTTCTTTCTCCCCAATTTAAAAAGTGTATAGTGACTGTGTACTTATATCTTGACAATGTGTTACCACACCAGCAACCATCTGACCTTAAGTCAACTGGTTCCTCTGATAATAATGAATGCCACATGAAGGTGCCCGTGATTATCCCAACACCACCCCCAGGTAGAAGCTATCAATTAAGCAAGGAAATGGTGAGGAGACAGATGCAAATGTCTCATTTCTTCATCCCAGATTAAACCAGGTGACAATTATATCGTATCGACCGAAATTAAGAAATATATCGTGATATAAATTTTGGCCATATCGTCCAGCCCTATGCACATGAAAAGCACAGATGCCAGCAAAACAAATTAAGTGAGATTTTTAAAGGCACAGTAAAGTGTCAAATACTACCGTATTGGCCCGAATATAAGACGACCCTGATTATAAGAAGACCCCCTTTTTCTAGATGTATCTTTTGGAAAAAGGCTTTTTAAAAACCAAATCAGTTTTTTTCTCAGTAAAATACATTTTGTCTTCAATTATTTTCATATTGCATATTTTTCCTATCTTAATTTTTGTTTTGTAAGTATGGTAAAAACTGGTAAACTGTACCAACAATCACATTTTTAAAAAATATACACTTTTTGGTAGCCCATCTGAATTAGGACATTTAGGCTATCCATCTAATAGTAGCCTACCAAAATCTTGTTAACAGTAGAAGTTAAATCTTACTGTAGTCTTCAAATCTGGGTACTGTCTTACGTTTTAAAATCACAAAGGGAGTTTGGTCTCATCAGGCTAACTTGACAGTCACGACTCATGCAGCTGTAAGGTTTTCTGCTTCTTATGTTTTTACTCGCGATCTTTACAACAGGCATTACATTACGTATTTCATGGCACACTCGTTTTATGCGTATTTGGCGCCACCTAGTGTTGTGGGTGTATTATTGACATGCCAAAGTCTAGACCCTGAATATAAGACGACCGCCTTTTTTCAGATGTATTTCCAAGAAAAAAAACATCGTCTTATATTCAGGACAATACGGTATATTGATTTCAATTCAAATTTTTGGACTGGACTTTGGAAGTTTTCCCATAAGGATTTTTTAAAAAGTTGTCTTTTAGGAGTTATATAATCCATGAAGCATACCAACCAGCTATTAGGGGAATCACAACATTACACAAATATTGATTTGAATCACAAAAGTATTTGAAAATCTAACAAAATGACAAAGGTATGAGAATACTTAACCATCTCATGTCCCTTTAAGTCATGCAAATGATACAATGAAATTAAAAATGGATAAATAAAAATATTGATTTAAGGTTGCTAATTATGTCTATAGAAACTATATGTATGTACACTTAGTTTTGGGAGCATAGGAAGATTGCATTTATAGTGCTTCATGGGTATGGGCAAGTGCTAAAATGATTTTGCATGCTTTGCTTGTCAGGATTCTCTGGAGATGTGTTTTGCAGAATCGTGGGTAATGTAGTTTATCCCCAGGAGTTAAACAGTTGATCCTCCTATGGAGAGAATAAATGGTGTTTTTATTTGTGGACCTACTGTTGCACTACATTCACTAACCATTCCTAGCCATTTTCTCTGGTTATCTAATTAAATATGGCTATTAGATGCATCAGGTTTTACAACAATGACTTGTGCACACAAGACACATAATAGCTTGTAGTCTCCACATTTTAATATATTTGATTTAAGAAGAAGAAAAAACTTTGCTTTCAACAACTTTCTGAAGAAGTGCTACATAGCATGCTAGTTGTACTGGCAGTTTTATTTCGTGGAGTAATTTAATTGTAAATAGTGTCCAAGATTTTCATAAATGCATTTTCCGTTTTATGAAAAAAAGGGGGTACAGATTTGGAACCACGTGAGGTTGACTCTTGTCATTTTTGGGTGGACAAATTCTTTTCAGGTGATGTTTATCATTTACATTTGGGTGGTCATCATCTTCTGAATGAGTTTTCCTTCCTCTTGATCTTCAGAGAAACAATCTGCCGTGTTACTGGTGGGATGAAGGTGAAGGCCGACAGAGACGAGTCCTCTCCTTATGCTGCTATGTTGGCGGCTCAGGATGTGGCTCAGAGATGCAAGGAGCTGGGAATCACCGCCCTTCACATCAAGCTGAGGGCCACTGGTGGAAACAGGTGAGACTCTGAATGCACAACACATTTACAGACAAGGACTCAAATGTCATGTTCATAACACTGGGTACGAGTTGATGGGAAGAAAGTACATGAGCTTGCATCATGATTTACTTGCTCTCTCTTTTTCCCTCTCTTCAGAACCAAGACACCTGGACCAGGGGCACAGTCTGCCCTCAGGGCTCTGGCTCGTTCCGGCATGAAGATTGGCCGTATCGGTATGTATCAGCACTAGCACTGTCATCTAATGGTGCCTAATGTCTGTCAGTGTAAACTTGTTTTCATGAGGAAGTCTCACTTTCGTTTTCTTCTACAGAGGACGTCACCCCCATTCCGTCAGACAGCACCCGCAGAAAGGGAGGTCGTCGTGGACGACGTCTGTAAACTATTGGATTTTTTTCTGAATAAAACGTCATATACTACTTTTGCCTCCTGGCTTCATTGAAATGATTTCTTATGATAGCAGTGCCAAAAGCTTAGATTCTGGACTGTTCAGTTGCCTTTAAGCTGACTGTACGTCAAACTGGTTTGATGTGTCGGATGTGTTCTGGTTTATTTTAAAACCGAATGAATGATAGGGGAATACCAAGAAAACATCCGCATTCAAATTATGCCACAACAGTTAATTTCCTCGTTGCAGTATTTCAACCTGTGCAGACACTGAAGTCGCAATTCCAGCTGGTTATTACAAAGAATGACAAATCCTAAACGGTGTATTTAAGTATTGTGAACAGATTTAATACCAGGTTACTTTTGGTCTCATTTATGATTCTATAAACTAGAATTTCAAAAGCTGTTCACTTGTTTTTTAGCATTTAATTTCATGTTCTAAATGCTTGGGGAAATCTACACCAGGTTGGGCAAGATAATTGAAAGTGAAAGCATTGCACTTTATAGGGATAGTTCACCCAAAAATGAAAATTCTGTTGTTTGCTCATCCACATGTTTTTCCAAACCTGTATGAGTTCATTTCTTTTGTTGAGGACAAAAGATGATGATATAATGAAGGTTCATAATCAAAACAGTTCACGGTATCCATTGACTTTCATAGCAATTTATTCCATAGTATGAAAAGCAATGGATATCATCAAATGTTTGGTTACCAACATTCTCTAGAATATCTTTTGTGTTTGTGTTTGTATTAAAACCGGTTTAGAGCAAATGATGACAGAATTTTCATTTTTGGGTAAATTATTACTTTAATACATATTTTTAGTATTAGGGGAAGAATCATTATGCATACTGTCATATTATTTTTACTGAAAAAAAGAAAAAGCTAGATATTACAACTTTTCAGCAAGTATTTCAATATTCCTGCAAAGGTTACCATGGTAACAGGCCGCTCGAGCACTTTTGTTAACATTTAAAAAAAAAAAAAAACATAAGTACTGTCATTCTTTATCACTTTGTTACGCATTTATATTTGAGACGTATATTACAAAAGGTTTTATTCAAAGGCATTTTAGATCTTTAAAAGACAAATCGGTAACAATTTACAACAAGTTTCATTAGTTAACTACTTCAGTTAACATGAACTAAGCATGAACAATACTTCTACAGCATTTATTAATCTTAGTTGTTAATTTCAACATTGACTAATGCATTATCAAAATCAAAAGTTGTGCTTGATAACATTAGTTAATGCACTGAACTAACAATGAACGACTATTTTCATCAACTAACATAAAAAAGATTAACAAATATTGTAATAAATGTATTGTTCATTGTTTGTTCATGGTAGTTAATAATGGAACCTTACTGTAAAGTGTTACCAACAAATCTCACAAAACCGATTTGGCACACTGATCAAGCTACCAGTGAATCATGCGGAAACAGATCGTTCCAGTTCACTTTTGCCTGACAACTGATGATGCGGCTCGCCATGACCAATCAAATAATCAACCCGCTCTGCTCCAGACACTTTCATCCGAGTGCTGCAGCTGGACTCTCAGTTCTCACTTTTTTATTTTAGAGCGCTGCTAGAAAAATCTCTTGAGCAAATTGACTAAATTTTGAGAATTTTTTTCTGACCATTAATCAAAAATGTCCACCGACGGAAACGAGGCACCACTTATCAGAGCTCCAAGTGAGGAAACTTCAATCAACATGGGACCTCCGAGACGGTGAGGAAACCTTTTTTATTTGTTTATAGATAAATCTTATTTTCCCCAGTCATATGTTAAAGGTAAACTGAATGCGACTGAGTGTAAAGAGCTGTTTTGAATTATTCCTTCAATAATTAAGCAGAAAAATGTGTAATATGCGACTTTTATAATACATCTGTATATATTTACAGTCCTCACTGACGGTGTTTCATTTAAAAACTGAACTAAAATACATTTTTAATGAGACTAATGTATTACGTGTTATAATGTGTTCTGAAATCAGGGCCGTAGCTGGGGTTTGCGGGGCCCCAGTGCAGGTTGCACCAGTGGGCCCTGTTTGAAATCGTTGAATTTGTATGTTCGTTCTATTTTTTTATTTGTGCTATTTACACAATGTTTAAGTTTTGTCAAGTTTGTAGGTGTCCAGGTACAGAAACCGAATAATCAAATGTACAGGGTTCGTACGGTCATGAAAAACCTGGAAAAGTAATGGAATTTTAAAACACCAATTTCCAGGCCTGGAAAAGTTTTGGAAAAATAAATCATCGAAAAGTCATTGAAATCTATTTCACAAAACTCTGTATAATAGAATTGTGTTTAATCGGGTCCTGAATTTCGGTGCGGGATTGCGCATAGTTTTACTCATTCCCGCAGCTTTTGACTTTAAAATGATGGATATTCACACATTTATTCAATAGCCCTATAGCATGTAGGTTTGATGAGTAAATAATCAAACCTACAGACTGAGTCCAGTCCACACAGACTGATCAAATCAGT